CTTAGCAAGGGCATCCTATGCTTCTGCACCCTGAGGGATAAGGATGGCAGACAGGATGGGGACAAGGAGATGAATTTTGGGGAGGATATGGAAGTGGGGGCCAGGAGTAAAACCTAAGAACTCAGGTCCCCTTGACAGGCAATAAGAGAACAGAAGATGGATATTGATTTCTGCCAATCCGCAAGGCTCTGTGGAGGAGCCAAGATGTTTCTGCAGATTTTGAAAAGTGTGGCCATTAATATTCCTACTACTGGATGATGATGATACATGCTGCTCTGAATGATGAAGAGCAACCCAGAAGGTCTCTGTTGTCTCAGGTGTGTAGCTAAGATCCAGCTGATGACTTTCCTGTTTCTAGCCAGGTTCTCTTGTCTATGCTGCTTCCAGAAAAATTTTTCTAAAAGACCGAAAAAAAAACAGTTTTAGAAACTTTTTATTGTGAAATATAACACACATTCACCAAACTACACAAAACATACATATATAGTTAAATGATTCACTGTAAAGTGAACACTATTATAACTGCCATCCAGAACAAGAAATATATAGGTCCCTGCCAATCACTCTGCCTCATGGCACCTCACAAACTCAGCTCTCCCCTCCCACAAAGGTGCCCAGCCTTGGCTTTTAGAAAAACTAATTCCCTTGCTTTGCTTTAAGAGTCTTCGCAGCTATGTATGTATCCCCAAACAGAGTAGTTTGAGTTTGGTGTTGTTTGAATTTTATATAACTCAAATCATATAGTATCTTTTGATATCTATCTCCTTTGCCATTATATTATGCCTTTAAAGATTATTTTCATGTTCTGGCTAGCAATTGTGTTTTTTTTTTTGTTGTTGTTGTTGCTATAAAGTAAACATACATCCCATTGTATGAAATATACCACAATCTATCTATCAGGTGTATTGTTGGTGGACATTTGTTTTGCCTCCCATTGAGGGGTTATATAATCAATGATACTATGACCTTTCTTTCATATATTTCATGGTGATGCATATACACCTCTCTATATGTGTACTCAGAAATGGAGTTTTGAATCATAGGGTATATACTTCCTTAATTTTATTATTTACAATTTTATCATTAAAGGAACATACTCTTACAACAGAATGGTTGTATTTATTATTCACCTACCAGAATAGGATGAGCATGATCAATGCTTCACATCCTCGTCAGCACTTGATGTTTTCAAAGTTTTAATTTTTTTGCAAATTTGGTGAATACATATCAGTATCTCATGTGGCTTACTTTCTCCTGACTTTAAAAATATAAAGTATCTTTTCATAAGTTTGTGGCCATTTGGAAAACTACTTTTCTGAAATGAAGTCATTTTTCTATTTACTATTATTTTTTTCTAATTGATTTCATGAGTTTGTATACATTCTAACTAGAATTTGATTAGGTATATGTGTTGCAAATATTATTTTCCATTCCTTGCCTTTTAAATGTTTTTTAAAAAGAATTTATTTATTTGTTTGTTTGTTTGTTTGTTTATACAAGAACCAGGGTACAGGCCAGATGCACGGGAGGGTGAGAGGATTCACCAGAGACAGAGCAGGGAACAGAACAGGCAGACTGACCAAAATACACTGCTGAGGGGAGCAGTGGGTGAGACAGGAGAGGTCTGCCCCCGATGAATAGAAGTTTCTACTCTTGTGATCAATTTTATCAATTGTTTCCTTTAAAAGTATTTTTTCTTTGCTTATTAAGAGTTCTTTTCCTATTTAAATATCTTAAAGATATTCTACATTATTTCTTTAAGGTCATTTTTGCTTTATTCAGTTAGGCATATACTCCACCTGGAAACAATTTTGCCTATAATCCAATTGGCTTCATTTTAATGTTTTTCCATGTTTTTTGCATTATGTGTTGAAAAGAACACCCTTTCCTTATTCCTCAGAATGTTACTTCTGTAATAAATCAAGTTCTCTTATAGGTGGTCATCATTTTCTAGACTCTTTCTGTTTCACTTAATAATTTGTCTACGCTGGAGCTAATACCACAAACTTTGTTATTATTGAACAGCATTTAATTTCCTCTAGACTTACTTGCTATTGTTTCATATGAATATTAATATTGAGTTGCCCCTGGGAACCACTTAGGTGTCCATGAGCAGTCTGAAAACCATAGGACCAATTGTTCCAAGCCAACATTCATGCCAACATTTTGTAAGCATGGAATTGCACTTTCAAGATGTTAACTGAAGCAGCCCCGTTGTGGATAATGCATTTTTAAAATGCAATTGCAAAGAAATGAGGCATGGGTTTTTCATGTTTCCAAAGTTAGGAGATTGGAATAACCAGCTCCCTTCAACCAAATGCAATTGAAAAGCTACAGGGAACATTGGTAGAGCTACATCGAATATGAGGTATATTCAAAAGATGATAAAAGTACTATAATTGCCAACATGTTTGTAGCTCACTTAAGATATTCTGGAGAAGAATTTTTTGCTAAAATTATTTTTGTTTTCGTATTTTTTCAGCAGACCCAGACTGTGATCTTTTTCATTACTGTGGGTGTGGAATAAAGAGGAAAAGTCATTTCTGTTTTTCTGTATACAGAGTTGTATAAATGAAGAGAGGGAGAAAGTTTAAGCAGCATATTTGTTTGATTTAAAAGGAATACTTTGTTTCTCATGATTGATCACAAATTAAAGGCAGTAAAAAGGTGTTACCATTGTTTGAGATCCACATTGTCCTGAAAGCACAAAGATTTTTACCATTCATATTTGAGTTAGTTCAATAAAACGGAAACACCTATCTTCTTTAGTAGTGTGGTTAAATATATTATGCCCTCTACTCTTGTGATCCCACATTTCCACCTGTGCCCAAGGTCGCACGGTAATGTGACCATAGATATCTGACTTGGTGTGGTTAAGTAAGCACCTGTATGACATGTGGCACTGTGGTGGCTTCTCTGAGTCCACTGGGTACCCGAGGCTACCAACAGTGACATGACAACACTAAGCTTCTCATTTTCTCCAAGAGCTCAAACTGTATTTTGCAATTGGGAAATGATGTTTCTCTGACTTCATAGTGATAGATGACAAGTTACACCTTTTAAAGGGCAAATGACTAAGCACTTGATCAGAGTCATCGGTATCTGGGGAAGGCGTTCCAGAAGCTCTGAGTCTCTGGATGTAATTTGAGCTTTTGCAATCTCAGAGCTTATATCTGCAAAGATACTTTGCTCTAGCCATACTCTTCCCATCTGACAGAGGACAGCTGACTGAAATGATTTGCCCAAGGTCATAAGACTAGCAATTACCACTGGTCTCATAATTTAAACCATGCTTAGCAAATATATGAAGTGAGGGTTCCAGAATCCACACCAACGCAAAGCAAGTTCCATTTTGATGGCAGCTTATCTTGCAGCAACTTGTGCCATGATCTTGTCTCATTCTCAGGGAGTGAGACATAGCATTACAACAACTACAAAATCACACCCACTGCTTTTAAAGAGCACAAAGCCCCTCACTCTATTCTCTCCTTAACTTTCAAAATCTACTGATGGATACGGTAGACATGTAATATCTCTTGTAGATCAGAACTTGAAAGAGATTGAAAGCATCTGTCAAGAGAACCCAGGCCCCCTGTTTTGCCATCTAGGATACCCGCCAGATTTTGCACTGTTAATTGGATCCCATGCAGGCAGCTATTTTAGCAACAATTCTGTGGGTCTTCAGTGGCACATCTTGATTTAAAGTGAAAACGTTGAAAAGCACTTCTCAGCCACTCAAAGCTTCCAGTGTTGCTCATGTTTGGCTGATTTGACAGAGGGGAAGCAGCCTTCAAAACTGTTGTATAGACATAAAATGAGATTATTCAGGTACCTCAAGTTCAGAGAATAATTTTCAGAGAGATGGTGAGTGAGGAGTGTAGTTTCTGCCTATAGAGATGCTTTCCCTAAAGTCAGATTGAATTGAAAATAGAGTTTATGGAAAAAATGCCACTGTGACCTTAATCATGCAGTCTTTGAGTTGACACCATAATGAGGAATGGAGTGCTATTAAAATATACTGCACATTTTAATGAGTCTACTAGCAGTAAGCCAAAAAAAAAAAAAAAAAAAAGATTTAAGCTCTGAATAATTCTGGGAAGGAGGACTTTGCCAAGGAGATTTTAATGTCAAGAATGTATGTGAGGCTAAAAATAAGAAGCTCACATGCATCCCAGAATTGTGGGTGGGGATGTATATATAATCAAATTAAATTATGCTATTTCCACTTATAGAAAAATCTGATGGCAAAAATTGACTAGAAAACATTTAGTCATATTTCACTTGGATTATGCTTATAAATACCAAACTCTAGACTTGTCAAAATAAGCCCACCAGCATTTTCCTGCTGAGGTGTGAGATAGACAATGATGCAGCATGCAAAAACTATAAAGAGCTTATAAAAACATTGTGCCTGGAAAAGCCACAGGAATTCAGTAACCAACTAAGAAGCAGTAGAGAGTTCAGAGGGGAAAAAGTGTTGCTGAGGAGTGAAGAATGGAGTGAGGAGCCCAGAATGATTTATATATTGAATGCAAAGGGAGGCACTTACAGAGAATTTCAGATTCATGAGGCCCAGGTCCCAACACTCAGAGACCAGGTCAAGGGTACATGACTTTTGGGCACTATTTATTTTCCTAGTAGAGAAAGTACCCTTCAATTTTGACTTTCCCCTGGAAGGCCAGTAATTGTGCTCTTTTCACTAAGAATTTGTTGATACAATGGGCCTGTGAGGTTGGCAGCTTCCAATACACCCATCTGCCAACCAAGGCCATCTGCAGAGGAGACACTAAGCTCCAATGCCTGAAAATGAATTTGCTGGCATATCAAGGACAAACATCTTCTTGGCTAGACCTACTGAAACTCCAACCTAAGAATAGGAGGAAAATCTAGGCCTAGTTAAATCTTTTATTTACTTTTTAAATTGTAAGTGGAAAACTCATGTCAACCCTGCTTCTTTAATCTCCTTCCCTTGCCTGTTGCCTTAGCTTGCCCAAGCCTAGACTCTGGGCCAGTGATACCACTGTTCATTGGGTTTGGTGCTGACCAGTGAGAAGGAGGGCTGGCAATGGTGAGGACAGAGAGGCCACCTTTCTTGGCTGGCTTGAATAGATGGTGGCTTCATATTGGCCAATATTTGCTGAGACAGGCGACAGACACACTGTCAGGATGTGTTCTTTGTTCACCCCCCAAGTAATGACAGGAGCAGGGTGAAAAAGTCAGCTCAGCTTCCATGCACATGAACAAGGTGAAGAGAGGAACCCAAGCCGATGGGCCTCAGCCAGGCTCACTGCTCCAGCATCTAGATGAATTCTGGCTTGGACAGAACCTTCATCTTGTGCCTCTCAGTTTTCTCCCAACATGTCATTCTGGAATCCTGTGATCTCTGTTCCCTAGAGAAAGAAGACAGCAAGGAGGGAAAATAATGTGTCCTGATGAAAGGGAAGTGGGATGTTAGGAGAGATAGTTATGAAAAATGTATTAAGGATCAGACACCATGCTAGGAATTTTACATATAAGATCCCCATCACTCACAAACCTCCTTCCCACTGGTCAGTATCAACTCCCAGTGGACAAAGACATTGTTGTTCAAGAGATAGGTATTAACCCAATTTTAGAGGAGGAAATTTAATTTTAGAGGAGGAAATTGAAGGTTAGGGAAATTATTATTTTTTTTAAGTTTTTTTTTATTTTTAAAGATTTATTTATTTATTTATTTATATAGCACTGGGTACAGTCAGAAGCGCGGGAGGGTGAGAGAACTCACCAGAGCCAGAGCGGGGAGCAGAGCAGGTAGAAGGACCGAAGTACACTGCTGAGGGGAGCAGCGGGCAGCAGAAGGGATCTGCGCGCCATGTGGGACCCTCCTCTGGTGGCCGGGAAGCAGCCGGGGATCGAACCGGTGCTGCAGAGGCCATGGGCAGCTTCGCAACCCAGCGCCCAACCACTGCGCCACCGGGGAGGCCCAGGTTAGGGAAATTAAATAACTTGCCAAGAAAACACATAATTATGAATCAGCAATGTCAGGATTTGACATGGCCACTAGCCTCAAACCCAAGCCTTAAATCATTCTACTATTCTATTTCCAGGATTTCCCCATCTACTGCATATCCCTTGTGCAGGGAAACAACTGAAAAATAGCAAAATGACTGAGTAGTTGTGGGAGGGATCTAATTTCAGCTCTGCTATTCACTGTTCATATAACAGTTCATACATCAGTGTTCTATAATATCACTTGTGAGTCTCAATTTGTAAAATGGTAATAATGTTGTATGTCCTGCTATCACCCAGCATTTTACTGAGGCAATTTATGGGGCAAAGTTTTGATCAAAAGAAAAATCTTCTATATGTGACCTAATTAAGATGGTGGTTGTAGGTGACCTGAGCTTGGGTTTGAAATTGTTATACTTTTCTAACCACATTTGCGTCATCTATGACTTTCTGGAGAGGTCTGGAATGACGAAGACACATGTCTGAGCATGTCTGAGTCCCTGTCTGTGACCATCAGCATGTCTGTCCCAGCCAAGAGAGCCTCGTACCTTAAGGGGAAACAGATGGAGCGGCTGAAGACACAGTAGATGAGAGGGTTGATGGCACTGTTCAAGGCTGGCAGGTTCTGGATGATCACAGAGGCGTAGAAGCGCTCCCTGGTGTCTGGAAGGAGGCTGAAGTTGTCCAAAATGTCAAAGAGGAAGTAGGGACTCCAACAGCAGATGAAGGCTGGGGGAAGGGGAAACATTAACCTGATAGCAAGCGATAGTTTGAGGGGTTTCCCTGGTTTGCACTGACTGGACTTCAACTAGTAGGTTACTAACCACCTGGCATCTATCAGAAATATTTAGTACAGTTGTGTGTGTTCACATTAATGTCACATTTGTTTAAACACATGCACATATATACATACACCTGTACACATCCACAGACACATTTCTAAAACAGAAAATTCTCTGGAGTTTCTCAATCTGTAAAAGTCACAGTTGTGACTTTTTATTAAAAGTCTGGGACTATGTCAGGTGTGGCCTTAGCCTCTCATCCCCATAGTGGAGAAGAAAACCCAGCAAAATCCTTTGGAGATTCTCTGGAGAACAGGAAGCATTTTGAGCAAATAGTGACTCCTCATTTTAGGCAAGTGGGGAAAGGCAGTGTCTAATGTTTTTGAAGCATAGTGTAGCTTAATCAGACTGTTCTCAATTTTCCTTTTCATTTCTAAGTTAGCCACTACAGAAAATACCCACCCAATACCTTTCTCCACATCCATTAGCATGTGTGAGATCTTATTTCTGTTTGGCTCTAAATCCTCAGAGAAAACGGGTGGGAAGCGGAGACCCCCCCAGTGTGACAGTTTACTTAGTAGGTCACCTTGATTAGACTGTAGGATGCTCAGACAGTTGGCTAAAGATTATTTCTGGGTGCTTCTGTGAGACTATATCTGGAGGAGATTAAAATTTGAATTGCTAGACTGAGAAAATCAGATGCCCTCCCAATGTGAGTGGTGGACCACATTCAATCCATTAGAGGCCTGAATAGATAAAAGTCTCTAATTGACTCTGTTCCAGCGAGGCATGATCTCCTTCTTCCTTCAGACTTGCTTTCCCATAAGAATTACTCCATCAGCTCTTCTGGATCTGCAGCCCTTGGGACTACTCAGTCCCAGAAATAGCAATAGATACGGGTGGTGGGGTGTGTGTGTGTGTGTGTGTATGTGTGTGTATGTGTTTTCCTGGTTTTCCAGGGGCTGCCAGTGGCGCTGCATTGGGCGGCAGTCCTCCTCATGTCCTGTACATCCTCTGAATGCTCAGCCTTACTTATAATTACCCCAGTCTAGAAAGCTAACTCTACTTTATATACGAACACAAATGGTTTTTAATAAATACTGATTTTTCCAGAAATGCAATCCCCTTGTAAATAGAGGAAAGATTGCTTTAATTTGGAACTTTCCCAGGACTTGTTCACTTGCTCAGAAAATCAAGTGACTGACAAAAATAATCATTAGATTTTTTATATCTCCATGAAAAACAGGTGTATTACTTTTCATTTGCCGTTTTTATGACCTGCAGGTGTAACCATTTGAGTCTTTCATTATTCTTCTAGTGTAGCTGGGCCCAGTTATTTACATACTGAAATTCACATTGTTTTTCCATAAATTATTTCCTTTCTATCCCTCTTTTAAATTATTATCTATTGAACTTTTATGAATTATGCTAGGTAGATAGTATTATGTATACATTTCAATTTAGGATGGTAAAAGGCACTAGGAATTATTTACCATAGAAGTGACCACTTGGGGCTGATGAAACTAGTGACATGGGCTGACCTTCTTGGGCACATCCCTGCTCTCTGACTGAACGAACCCCCACTGCCTGGGCATATGGTTCTTGAACACCAAGGTATGTGCTGCCTCTGGAACACATGTATGAGATAGATTTTTTGCTTAATATCCAGCAAATGTGTATCTGTGTTTCTGACCATCTGGGAAGGCTAGGGGGGTCTTTGATCTACTTCAGAATCCTCTGGGAAAGGATTTTGAGCCTGGTGGGTTGTATAAGATTTATCCCTGGTCTGCCCTCTGAGCTGTTTTGTACCTCCATTCTGCTGACTGAGTCACACTGCTTGTGGTATAGTTGGCATTTTGAGTTGTGTTTTATAAAGGTGCGACCTGCAGCTAGCCTGGGACTTGGCTTTCTCAGAGCTCCAAGCGCTGCATTAGGGGAAGGCAGGAACACTATTTGAGCTAAATTAAAAAGGAAATAGCACAATTCCTTTTCTTTCTTATATATCCTCATTAATTTATTCGACAAATATTTCTTAAGCACCTAGCGTGTGTAATCCTTTAAGGTCTTGTTGATAATAATGTAATGAACACAAAAGCAAAGTCATTATTCACATGGATTTGTTACACCAGCAGGGGAGACAGTCAATAAGCAAATCAATATGTAACCTGTAATGTCAGGTGGAAGCAGGAACTATGAAGAATAGGGCAAGCGCTAGATGAAGGCTCTTTAAGACTTGTCAAGGAGACCTTTCTGAGGAGGTAACATTGTTGGGAAACAAGACAATGTTGGGAACAAACTATACCACCTTCTGGAGGCAGAGCATTTCAGGTGGAAGAAGCAGTGCATAGTCCCCAAGGTGTGGAAAAATAGCAAAAAGACCAGTGCAACTGGTATAGAATGAGAGAAAAGGAGAGTGGTGGGAATGGGGCTAGAAACTTGGCTGGGGTCAGATCACACAGGTCTGGGAATATGTGGGATGGGTAAGGTTTCATTACCAATGTGTGAAAAGTCATAGGCAGATTTGCAAACTAGTGGTAGTAGTAGCATCTGATTCATGTTTTTAAAAGATTTATGTTGGGGCTTCCCTGGTGGCGCAGTTGTTGAGCGCTGGGTTGCGAAGCTGCCCGCGGCCTCTGCAGCGCCGGTTCGATCCCTGGCCACCAGGTGAGGGTCCCACATGGCACACAGACCTCTCCTGCTGCCCACTGCTCCCCTCAGCAGTGTATTTTGTCGGTCTGTCTGTTCTGCTCCCTAATCTGGCTCTGGTGAATTCTCTCACCCTCCCACACTTCTGACTGTACCTAGTGCTTGTATAAATAAATAAATAAATATTTAAAAAAAAGATTTATGTTGGCAGTTTTACAGAGAAGGAATAAGAGAAAACAGAAGACTAGTTGTAGTTTTTTAGCAAAAGTGAGTGGCAAGAGCTGTATAAATGTTAAGATAAGGTTGGATTCGAGATCTGTGTTTAGACAGAGCCCTAGGCTTGCCTATAGACTAGGTATGTGGGGTGTGAGAGAAATGGAGTAACAACTGATGACCTTTAGGTTTCTGGTGTGGACCTGGGTCAAAGATGGTGTTGTTGACTGAAATGGGCACAAGAGAGGAAGGACTGCATTACAGGGTGGAGGAGAGCATGCCAAGGCTTCTGGTGTGTCATGTTGAATGTGATCAATATATTAGGAATACAAATAAAGATCTCAAGCAGAAATCATAGATAGAATTTTTAAACAAAGGAAGTGTTCTGAGAAGGAGGCACTGGTCATGTTTTGCTTGGGAGTCAGTAAGATGAAGATTGAGCATTGTCATTTGCCATTTTGGAGGTTATAGTAACCTCGATAAAGGTGATTTTTATTGAAATACCAGGAAAGAAAGGTAATAGAAATCGGTTACAGAGAATGAGAAGTGATAGTGGAAGAGCTGTTCTCATAAAGAGAACAATAAGGTGTATCTGTTACTGAAAAGTTCATCGAGGGCCCTAAAATAATATGCTTACGTGCATAAGATCCAGCCAAAAGGGGGTTTGCATGGAAGAGGAGACCATTGGAGGAGCAAAGAAAGAAATGGGGCTCAGGGCTAAAGTGAACACTTTGGATTTAGAAAGAAGCAGAGACAGCTTATCTATAGCAATTGGAGAAAAGACAGAGCACATGGTAGAGATGCAGGTAGGTGGGCGGGTTTGAAGGAGGGAGGATGAAGAAGTTGTATTTTAATTACCTGTATACTTTCTTAGTGAAGAAGGTCATTAGCTGAGTGAAACTAAGAGAGAGGAAATTTTGAAGGTTTGAGGATAAGAAAGAATGCACACCAACCTGACACATATTAGCTGGTCCAGAAGCTATATTTTTTTCTGAGATGAGGGTCTTAATATTAGATAAAAAAAAAGAAGGGAAAGAAAAGGGACAAAGAAAGGAGAGGAGAGAAGAGAAGATGGCCATTAGGGGGGGCTTTATAGTAACCCTAAAATCAAACTTCTCCTAGAGATGAAATGCCACTGCTGTCTTCCTTTTGTTCATGAACTTTAGCCCCAGGGGCAAGTATGTTATAAGGAAAGCAGCAGAATCAACAGGGTGAGGTTAGTATCAGCTATAGGTCATTATGTCCTAATCATATTTTCTCTAAATTATCTGCCTGTGTCCTCGGTGGGAAACCATATTCACAAAGAAAGGGATTTGGAACCAAATGTTGGAACTTAAAGGAGTCAAAGAAGGACTGATAAATTCCACAAGTCCATCTACAAAAAGACAAAGGTAGATATGCCCACAAATTCCTTTCTTGTTTGGGCTCTCTGTCCCCAGGTTCTAGGAACAAAAGTTGCTTTTGAAAGATTCACACAATTCTGCAACACAAGGAGGGTCGTTGCTTACCTAGAATGATGACAATGCTGTATCTGATGGCCTTGATTTTTGCCTTTGAGATGAGCCCTCTATTGTAGCTGGTGCACAGCTTTCCATCTGTAGATACAAAAGGTGGAATGACCAAATTGCTGTTTCTGCCAGTAAGAAGGTTAAAGACACAGCTGCCATGGGAACACTGTCTCCTGTTCACCTATAACCAGCAGACATCCTCAGATACTTTCGGAGTAAACATGGCTATGGGATGGATACCAGAAACAGCTCAGTTTGCAGCTTCATATAAGCAACTGCTTTGGGACATCTAGACTGTCTCAAAAGGCTTGGCTGGATGCCCTGAATCAAGTGAAGTTGGAATTAGCCATGTGGCCATAGGAGGCAAAGCTATAGCTGTTCAGCAACCTCAGACAAAGTCACATTCCAACAAGAGTTACCCCAGGCCAGGCAGAGATTTTTGTATATATTCCCAAACAGAAACCTGGATACAATTTTAGTCCTATGTTGGTGGTTGCCTGATGGTAAAACATTTGAGGAGTAAATAAATCTTAGAATACCCTAGAATATGAACTTGATGAAGATAGGGATTTTATATCCTCTAAACATAGAGAGTGACTAACAAATATTTGTTGAATGAATTAATACAAACCTCTCTCTAGCTAAGAATAAATAGGGAAATAAAGGTTGGTTAGGATGGGCAAAAATAGTGCAATGACTCCTAGTAAAAGGAGTGAAAGGATAGCAATTTGGGGGATGGAGATGCTAGGTGGAGATGCTCTTTATATTTTACAAGAACTTTACCATCAGGGATACTGTCAGCCCATGTGGCACCTTTGTGAAAATTGAGGCAAGGTTACCTTCCTCTGGAAGGATGCAGCTCTGCCTGAGAGCCCATCCTCAGTGGGAAGCATGGCCAAGATGCCAGTCCTACATACCCTCAGTTGGGTGCCACTGATTAGGGCTCAATGGCATAAGCCTAGGGGTGGACCAGGTCAGAGGCCCACCCAGGATGCCTGAGTCAGATGGTGCAGGACAGCTGTCCACTAGAGGCCATCTGCTGTGCTCACTTGTCCTTACTACATTGTCTAGATTCTACATTTGACATTTATGTTTTATTGAGGTAACATTGGTTTACAACACTGTATGTGATCCAAAGGCATAAGATCACACCTCCTCAGAGGTATGTCACCACCGAGGCCCCCTGAGCCCTTCACCACCTTCCACTGCGCCCCTGCCCTCTTGCTTCCCCTCCATGTCCCTGCCTCAATTTTCCAGTCAGTTGAATAGGTTTGTTATCAGTTTGGTTTGCTCTGATCTTTGTTAATCCACAATGGAAGCTGGTCTGAAGTTTACCTTTATATTATTCTACCTCTTCTCCAACCCAATCCAAGGAGCACAGCATGTCTATAAGAGATAAGAACTGAAAAAATAGGCTTAATTACATTTCATGTTGTCTAGGAATTTCAGTCCAGAAGGAAAGATAACACTCCCCACAAGGCTGAGTGAGATGACAGGGATGCTAACGAACTCTGCAGGGAGGAGAGAGCCATGTCTCCATGCCCACCGCTGCTCAGGGAGGCTGTGAGGCAGGTGCAGAAATGCCAAAGGCAGAGCTGGGCTCTGGGCGTGGGATCAGGAAAGACAGAGACAGCAGGAAAGGCCTCAGCAGAGACACAGTAACGAGAACATGTAGGTTGTGTTTGAGCCAGGCTGAGTCATCTCATTTGAAGGGGGCCTGAAAGGACGTTAGTTGAAGGGTAAGGAAAAGACCTAAGGACAAAGAGGATAGACCATGAATATCTTAGTGAGGAGTTTGGGTTGAATTACTGAGGCTGCTGTAAGCCAGGAAGCTTCCTAGTGTTTTCACAGTGTAAACATTGACTCATGGTAAAGGACAAACTATCACCAGGAATAATGGGAATAAGGGGCTTTTTATGTGCAATGAGCTGATGTGCTAATTATAATTGACTTTTTATTTCTTAATGTATGCCCTATAAAGTCCCTTGTAGGCACTATTTGGGCCTTCAGATTATTCTTTGCATTTTTAAAAAATTTTATTTTTATATTCCCCATACAATTGCAACCCCCTTATTTTGACCCCAATCCCTCCTTTCCCTGCCACCCCCCACATTGTGTCTCTGGTTTATAGTTGTTTGTTGATTTTGATATTTTCTTTCTTATAGTTATTCTTTTTCCTGGTCCCTTATTTAAGTTTTCTAGATTCCTGCTATGAGTGAGACCATCTGGTATTTTTCTTTTTCTTTCTGGCTTATTTCTCTGAGCATGACCCTTCTAGCTCCATCCATGTTGCTGCAAATTGCATGTGTTTATCTTTTTTGATTGCTGAGTAATATTCCATGGTGTATATGTACCACATCTTCTTGATCCAGTCATCTATTTTTGTCCCTAGGTATTTACCCAAAGGACACAGAAACATTAATTCCAAAGAGCACCTGCACCCCTATGTTTATAGCAGCACTGTTTACAATAGCTAAGCTTTGGAAACAACCCAAATATTCTTTGCATTTCTCAGAACATGAAACCTCAGTTGGATAAAGGAAGCAAGAAGAAGCATTGACCAATTTACAGCAGTGGTTCTCAACTGGGGACCATATGCCCCCTCCCCCCAGAGTTACATTTGGCATTGTCTGGACACATTTTTGGTTGTCACAGTTGGGGGTGGAGGTACTCCTGGAATCCAGTGGATAGAGGCCAGGAAAGTTGCAATGCCTAGAACGGACCCCACGATAAAGAATTTTCTGGTCTAGAACACCAAGGGTGCTGAGGTTGAACAACCCTGATTTCTAAGGTGGTGTTTTGGAAAGGACATGGGTTTCAAGCCAATTGCCTACCATTCCCAGCCTCAGTTTCCCTACTTAAAAAAATGATATGCAAAATACCAAACTCATAGAGCTATTTTGAGGATTAAATGAGAATAATATATTCAGGATGCTGATTCCCATGCTGGGAAGGTGATGAATTATTAATTGGGATAAATGAGGTTTAAACAGTATTTCAGGAGTAATATGAACTGCCTTTATCCAACTGAACAGAAGGTACTGGGTACATTCAGACAGTCTATTATACAATGCTGTTACCTGTATACATGAATTATGTACCTCAAAAAATGATTGGGGTGGGATTATAACCATGGGCGGCAAGGAAAAAGGGCCTCAGATCAAATTATATCCTTTCAAAGTGTCCCCATTTGCTGGAGTAACAGCTGACTCCTATAAAGTATGGCTCAGAAGTCTTGGTTTCCGAAAACTTCTCAAGAATGACATTTGTGCTCTGAAATTTATTTAAAATAGAAACTTGTGGTACTTTCCACAGGGCAACTGGGGTGACAATATAATCAACTACCTGCCCTTCGATCTCCCAATGCGATCAGTGAAGAGTCTTTAATCTGACCACTCTGGGAAATGCAAAGCCTCCAGCTTCTAAAGATGGCTCTTCAAAGAGAGCTGAGCTACAAAATGCCATAATTCTCCTTTATTGGGAGATAAAAGGATTATTTCTACTCAGGCCTTGGCCCTGAGCTGGAGTGAAAAGCAGTTAAATTCAGCCATCACTGTGCTTTAATAGCTGGTGTAGCCTGGAGCCTGCAGGTTCATTAGATTTGGACTGGAAGCAACACGCTACCTTTGGATGTTTTAGTTCAAGGGTGCATCCCTAGTGGGGGCTCCTGCTGGAAACGTAATCTCCAAGGACCAGTGCCTGCCCCATCACTTTCCCAAAGCTCCATGCCCCTTGCAGAGACATCTTTTTGTGGCCATGAACACCTGATGGGGGAGCGGTTGATATCTTGGGATCTTAAAATGAGGCAAAATTTATTCCGGGCTGTGGATCTATCTGTGGCCTTACAATGACTACAGGTGATTTGTTTGTTAACAATGAAGTCTAACAGGCAACATTTTAAAATAAATATTTCTTCATATGTTGGCAGGTTTATATACTTCAAGTTGATTAAAAATACATTTTATCAGTCTTGCCTTATTTCTAAAATTTTTAAAACTTGAAATTCATTTTTGAGATTTGATCATTGCTGTATTCTCTATCTACAAATATAACCTGAATGTTAAATATTTTAGCACATGAGCTGCTTAGCTGCGGGATTTTTGGCTGCTTCCTTTCCTTGTATTTTTTTTTAATCCTTTGACCCTCTAGCAAACTGGAGGTCACAGCTACATATGAAGATTTGTGACATAACTCACCTAACTTACTGCCTTTTCAGTTCTTCATCTCAGGTGGCGCCAAGAACTCTGACAAACTCATAACAATTATGGCAGACAGCTTAGATGTTCATCAAATTCATTGCTTTTCCCTTGGGCACACAGCTAGACTACATTTCCCAGGCACCCTTGCAGCAAAGTGTGGTCACATGACTAAGTTTTTCTTAGGAAACATGGGAAGAATCCATGTGTACCATTCCCAGGCCTGACTCAGATAATCCATCAGAGTAATGGATTGATCTCATCTTGATTGTCGATGTTGAGTGGTGCCTTATCTGCCATCTGTTAAACACAGCCGGAACATCAGCTCAAGTCTCTGAATGATGGATGTGGGACAGTGCCCTTCTCTTTCACCTTTGTTGTCAACTGGATTTTAATTGAGCAAAAAGTAAAATTCTATTTTGTTAAGGTTATAGATATTTGGGGGTTTTCTATGTTATAATTGCTAGTGTTTCCTTAATAAAAGCAGAAATTGATACCTCATTTGCAGTATTGTCCTAACAAGAAGCCAAAACATGTGGCTTTGGCTTAAAGTAGACAGGCAGCATGTGAAAAGGAAACTGACACTGAGGCTGGGACACTAGAGAGCCATTTGATGGAAATGTCGCATATGATGCTTGGGAAGGCAGGCTGTGTCTACTTTGCCTAGCAGCCCAGGAATAAAACTGTTGCATCAGTCAGGGTTCTCTAAAGAAATGGAAACAACAGGAGATAGAGGAACATGAGGAAGTTTATTATCGGAACTGGCTTATGTATTATTGGGGTGGAGAGATCCCATGACTTGCCATCTGCAAGGTCTAGGAGAAATAGAAAAGTTAGCAGTGCAATTCAGTCCAAGTCTAAGGTGTGAGAACCAGGGGAGAAGATGTGAAAGTTCAATCCAATGGCTGTAGAATCAGGCAATGGAAGGTGTAAATCTTAGTTCAAAGGTTCAAGAAGCAGGAGTACTGATGTCAGAGGGCAGAAGATAGGAAGATGGATGACCCAGCTCAAGCAAATTCTCCCTTCCTTTGCTTTTTTTGTTCTATTCAGGCTCTCAACAGATTGGATGATGCCCATGTACATTGGGGAGGACACTCTCCTGCTCATAGTTTATGGATTAAAATGCTTTCAGAACTACCCTTGGAACATACCCAGAAGCTATGTTTTACCAGTTACTTGGGCATTTCTTAGCCCAGTGAAGTTCACACATAAAATAAATCATCACAATTAGTAAACAAAATATTAATAGTATATGCTGATTGTTACCACTATGTCTAGCAGGGTATTAGAAAAACAAATCACCTCAGACAAGCACTGGTTGGTTTTTGAACAAAGCAAAAGCAAGTTAAAAATTCTAAGATTTAGAATCTTGCAGAGTTGAAACTGTCAATTGCTTCTAGCCTCCATTGTACCAGCTACATACTTTGTGTAGCCCAATGCATAATGAAAATGCAGACACAGCATTAGAACAAACCTGTACACCTTCTGAGCATGTGGGCCCTGTGCCAATGAGGCAGATCCCCCAAAGAAGCTCACCCTGGCCCTCAAGTTAAACTATAACATTGAAAGATTTTAACCAGCAACGACCCATTAAAATTCATTCCTGAGATGAGATCAAGCTAAAGATGTGGCCTCTTGTCTATTATTTCAAAGGCCTCAAACTCTTCCATTAAGTTGAGAGGCAGGGATTAGGAGAGGAGGCAACGAGACGAATCAGACCTGAGAATTTTGCTAAAAATGACGTTGTGTATATGGTTGCTGGAATATAAAACTGATGAAGCAACTAGACCAGGAATCTATTAAGTTGTTGAAGAATGATATTGCCAAACAAACCTTGAGTTTTTATTTCCGTAAACACTTCAGAAATATCAAACTTTAAAATTTTTACCAATCCTGTGGGTGGAAAATTATATGTAACTAAGGTTAAAATGTGCACTTTCTTGACCAAGGAAGTTGAAAATCTTATTTTTGACTATTCCTGTTTTCTGCTCTGTGAAATATCTGTCATATTAATTTTTTATCTGTTTATCATTTACATCTTTTAAAATTGATTTTTAGGAGTTCTTCATATATTTTGGATACTGATCTTTCTTGAGGCAGTTATGTATTGCAAATAGCATCTCCCAATTTGTCATTTGACCTTTGAAATCAAATGTATCCATCATTTCTTTTATGCTTTTTTAAAAAGAAATCCTTCCTTATTCCAATGTTTAAAAATATCACCCTAAATTGTCTTTTAAAATGTTTGAAGTCTTATGTTTTACATATTAGTCTCTAGTTTCCCTGGAATTTCATTTTGCCTGTGGATTGAGGTAAAGATCTGATTTCATTTCTTTCCATACATTCTGACACATGTCAAGTTCTCATATGTGTGTATGTCTACTTTGGGGCTTTTTTATTTTCTATTTATCTGTTGTATTGTGTCAGTACCACATTCTATTAATCATTCTGACTTCATGACAAATCTTAACATTCAATGTAGTAAACCTCTCCTATCTATATCTCTCTGTCACTTCTACATCTCTAGGAGTGTCTTGGTTATTCCTGACTCTGTTTTTCACATATATTTTAGATTTGGCCTGTCAAGCTCAATAAAATATCCCATTTCAATTTTCAAAAAGCTGCAATAATCTGTAGACCAATTCGGGAGAATCTACATCTTACTACCCAAGAATATGGTATAAGCTTCATTTATTATGTCTTTTGCTAAATGTAATAATTTTTAAAGAAGGCTTTTACTCACAATGACTGATAAAGAAAGGCTCTTTATCATGGGAATTATCTTTTTTTTAAATTTTAGGTAGCTGGATGTAAATAGGACTCTAATCTAGTTCCTCACCCCATCTACCTCATTTGAGACATGTAACGTGGCTATAGCATGGATCACAGCACATCTTCCAAGCCATAATGACCAGATGCTATTGTACATTATATTTTGCCTGTTTCACAGGTACACCCCCTCAATCCACTGTCTTCATGCAGTCAATGCTCTGTTTCTAGAAGTGGACACCTCTGCGCATAAAGAGCTGGCTGCTTTATGATTTATAACTTACAAGATAGGAAATCTCCTCGTCTACATCTTGCCCTCCCCTCTTGTTTATGGGAAAGTCTTTAGATTATTTATTAAATAGTTCTTATTTATCATTCTTTGTGGGAGTAAAAATAGACACATTTTCCAATAATAAGAGTGATTCTTAAACTAATGATGACTTGAATTTTGCAGCTTGTGTTTACAAAGTGAGCTTCTGTCCACACTAATCACTGTTGATGTCTCCTTGCTGATGAGTAATAATCCTGGGAAGCTAACACAACTGGAGATTCTATTTACCAGCCAACTCCAGAGCTGCTGCAACAACAGCCAGAAAATCAAGTAAGCTCCATTTATGAATAAGATACTGAAAGTACATGGACTTTTGAGACTACCATCTGCCTCTTTGTAAAAAGGGGTCACTGATGTTGTTATAATGGTGTAAATTACTAAAAATTAGGTGTAATAGAGATAGAAACTTGTATTAAAGAATAAGGACTGAATGTAGCTGTTTCCACCTCTCAGCCAGGCCTGAGTGACAGGGGAGATGCTTGGATTCTGGCTCAAAAACAATTCTGAGGTACTCTCGGCTGGCAGCTTGGTGAGGCCCAAATCCCCCTTTTCTTTGCCCAGTGTTTAGGGGGACAAAGTGGAGAAGACAGAGGCGACCTGGGACAGCTTTAGGTGCATCTGAGGTGCTGACTGCTCCCTGATTTAACAGTGCAACACGATTATATCCAAGAAGCCCAAGCTCATATTTGCTAGAGGAAAACCTCTGCAGAAGCAAAATTAGGCAACATTTGGACATTGCAGACTGGAGACGTACCTGAGTAGTTGGAAATCACCATCTCTTGGACTTTGCTTTTAACCCAAATAGTTCGGATCACAATGGTATAGATGACACTGTGGAGAGGATGAGAAAATGTTAAAAAACCTGAGGGTAATATTCCATTGTGTATATGTACTCAGCTATCAAAAAAGATAAACTCATGTGATTTTCAGCAACATGGATGGAGCTGGAAGGGATCATGCTCAGCGAAATAAGCCAGAAAGAAAAAGAAAAATACCGGATGGTCTCACTCATAGCAGGAATTTAGAAAACCAAAATACGGGACCAGGAAAAAACCTAATTATAATAAAGTAAAAATCAAAAGCAACTATAAACCAGAGACACACTACTGCGGGGGGGGGGGGGGTTGGAGAGAGTAGGATCCAAACAAGGGGGGGGGGGTGGGAATTGTATGGGGACTATAACCAAGATGAAAATGCATACATTGTGCAAAAATGACAATGATGTAAAAATATATATAAAATAAAATAAAATAAATAAAGTTCAGATCAGGAGGCACACACACACACACACACACACACACACACACGCCGGGGGGAGCCCTACTCTGAAGACACAGAGAGGACTATCACTACTTCCCTGAGGGTGAGGTTTTGAGGGAAGGGTCTCTCAACCATGCCTGCATCCTCTACTTGCAGGTTATAAAATCACAGTAGAGTGCAGCTTTTTAAATGAGTAGGCAATGGCCTTGTGAAGTTAAATAATTCTCTAATATAACTCAGATGGTTAGAGGTATAGGTGGAATTAACATCCAAAAACAGGATATAGGGTCAGAAAGATTTAGATTTGTAACCAGTGCCACTATTTGCTGGTTTTATGACCTTGGCTTCAGACAGTCTTCACTGTGGCCCCATGGTTCCCTAGTGCTGTGTTCATGCCTTTTTATGATTTTTCTCCTTTTCATTTTGGTGGGGTCGGTGACTTGTTTCTAATCAACACATTGGGTTGAAGGCGATGGGATATCTGTGATTACATGAGTCCAGCACCATCCGGCAAGTGTCCTCATTGCTGGCTTTGAGTAAGCAAGTGCTCTGTGTCCTACAGTTCCAGGAAATTATTTCTGTAAGGAACCCATGGGAGCTGGAAAAAGATCCTTCTCTGGTTAGTCTCTGAGGACACCTCACCATCACCTTTTTGGTGGCCTGACAAGCCCATTTAAACTATGCCAAGACTCCTGACTCACAGATAGTAAATATATGTTGCTTTAAGTTACCAGGTTCATGATAATTTTTTACTCAGTGATCAATAACTAAACAGTGAGTGATGTAAGCTGAGTATTTCTGATAAATTTATATGTTGAAATACTAATACCCATGTGATGGCATCAGATGGACCTTCAGGAGGTGATTAGGTGATGAGCATGGAGCCCGTGACTGAGACTAGTGCCCTTATAAGAAGAACACTCACTGAACTCCCAGCTCTCTCTACCGTGTGGGGATACTGAAAAGATGGTAGTCTGCCATGCGCAATCTCGCCCTCACCTGATCTTGGACTTGCAGCCTCCAGAATTGTGAGAAAAAAATTTGCATTGTTGATAAGCCCCCCACTCTATGGTATTTTGTTAGAGCAGTCCAAATGGATGATGACCCTGAGCCTCAGTTGTGACTGTAGAATGGAGTGAATCTAGAAACCTTTAAAAAGGATTTTGTTATCAAATGGGACATACAAAGTGCCTAGCACAGTTTGAAAATTAGCAGATTTAATGCATGTCATTTTCTTTTCCCTCTTCCCAATCTTTCACATAATATCATACCTATGCATGCATGACATAATATATGCCTAACATGAAAACAATGTTTATGATTCAAAAGCATCACCAAAATTTGTATCTTATATGCCTTTAGATAACTATGAAAGTATATACCCTTCTTTAATGTTATGATATTTCAAATATATTAAGCATTTTGACTAAAAATTTTGGAACAAAACACTGCTTACTTTTAAAATTGTACAAACTCACCTCTTGAGAATCACTGGTTTAAAAAAAAAAAATCAGAGCACTAGTTAGTAGTAGCTGACCAAGCTCTAATTGCTTTCAATGATCTTTGGAATATGACTTCATCACTGTGTGAAATTCATTTTTATTCTCACTCAGCAAACCACTCTGAGTGCTTCAGGAAGGCTCAGGTTCTTTATGGAGCACCCCACACTTTTTCATGTACTTGCCTAGGAATTTTCTGCTCTTTTGGAAGAAAAAAATAAGAAAAACATGGTGAGTCTATTCTTTACAAAAAATTGATTATTTTTAGAGGAGGGGAACTTCTTCCCAGGTAAATATAAATACAAGAAAATGTTATAACTAGCATGAAATGCAATTACCATTGCAAACCCAGGGCTTAATTAATCAATAATTCAAATATTTATTGATCATCAACCACATACACAATGGAAAATTAAGAAAGGTCATATGTGTTAGGGGTTTAGAGAAAAGTCACCCCTTCTCATCTACTTAGGTCCAATTAGGCAAGTGGAAATTCAATAACAGAGTTACTGTTAGCCCAAAAACTCTTAACAAGTAGAACACCACTTTCTTTTATTGCCCAAACCAGGCACATATCAGCTTGTAACTCATGCATCAGAGACGTCACTGAGTTTTCTTTGTTGCCTTCTTCTCCCTCATTTCTTTCATCTAGGTAATCAGTAAGCTTTGTGGATTGTCCCTTCAAAATGTCTCCCTAACCTGTACCCTCCTTTCCATCCCTGCTCCTCAATATCAGTTCAGACCTTTATAATCTTTTTTAAATATTTTAAAAAAAATTAATGCTTAAAAAAATTTTTTTCTGTAGATTTTTTGTGTGTGATAACATTAGTTGACAAGACTGTATAGGATTTAGGAGTATAGGCCCACAGCTCCTCACAGGTATGCTACCAAAGCATACCCACCACCAAAGCACCTATGATCCTCTACCACAACCCAGTGGGCCCCCTCCCCCCTCTTCCTCACCCCTAACCTTTTTTACATTTTAATGATTTCCATTGCAGTAAAATAAACACAACATAATATTTAACAAGTTTAATCATTTTTATGTGTACAGTTCAGTGGCATCAATATTTGGACTGTTGTGGAACTTCACTGCCATCATCATGACAAGCTGAAATCTTATACACCATAATACAACAATACAAAAGCTTCACTAATTTAAATGTCAGTTTTGCACAGAAGCCAAACTAACCTTCTCTGTATTGTCCCAATTTTGGTATATGTGCTAATGAAGCCACCACCCCTTACAATCTTTTGCCTGATTATTGCCACGATGTTCTCACATGTCCACTCTGCTTCCATCTCACCACTGGAACTCCAGGACAGGAGGTACCCCTTGACTCAAAATCCCTCCAATCCCTCTGCTTTCCTACCAGATGATATCCAGTCTATTAAACAGAACCTCCCACAGCCCACTGCTATCTTCCTCACCTTTACCATGGTCATTCTGCCTGCCTCCCCCTCCAAGTGTCTCAATGTCTCTTTCCCTATGTTGACAGGAACAGTCAACAGGAGCAGGCTAAAGTCAGTGTACAGTCTGACTCCACAGACTGTACACTGTTGACTTTAGGTGAGTGTGTATTCCAGTATTTCCCATCTCTTTGTGTCTGCTTTGTTCTTTTCTTGAAATGAATTTTTAAGCCCATTCTCCATGCATCCTTTCGCATTGAAACTCTCCAAGTTGCCTCTGTTCCCCAGTGATAATTAGCTTGCCTTCTTTGAGACCTCCATGATGGCATAACACTAGTTACACTTATTGAACTGGTGAAAACACACACGCACACACACACACACTCACCTGCACATCCATATATATAACATGCATGAGGGACAATGTGCATGATGGTCAATAAACTGAAAAAGCACTGTTTCTTTTCTCTACTTAAGCTGGAAATTAAGAGTGCACTCTTACTGAAAAGCAACAAAATCAAATTCAGGGAGTCAAGTGTGATTAAAAAAGAAAGAAAGAAAGATCTGAACCTTAGCTCTGAGAGGTAGGAACTTGTACCAAATCTTTCCAGGAACTAGTTAAAAAACAGATTCCTCACAAAATTCCCTCCGGGCCTGGAGGCTCAAGGAGGAGTTGCTGATAGAGGCCAAGTTCCTTAGAGAGAAGCTCTTTCTTTCACAGGTGCCTGACCATGGAAGAGTGAAGCTAATGACCGCACTGGGAGGAGATGCTCAGAGGAGCTCAAGGACAGAAGGAGGTCACTCTAAATTGCCATGGTTCTGCTCCCCTGGAGGCAAAGAGCAGGATTTAAGGAGATCTTAGTGCAATGAGGGCTGAGTGAAAGCCACTTGTAAAATCATCCCCTTAATCATCAAATGATACTTTGCTTTTTCCAAGGACACTACAAAAAGGTACAGGTTTGGCTACAGGCACATTTGAGAAATCCTGGTGGGAAGCAGCAGCTTGAATTAATGGGGGCAATTTCAGACAGTGAAAGACCCACAAGATAGAGCTGGTGAGACAGCACATTGTCAGCCACGTGGTTCACAAGCTCTATCTGCCCTGCTGAGCAGGAGTTTTGACTGATTTTATGAGCTGATGGGAAATCAATCAGGAGAGAAGCAAGGACACGCGCTGCCACTGGAATCGATGCGTCCATTGCCTGTGACAATCTGGAGCTACTTTCTTCAAAATGTTTTCTTACCATTGCAACTACCTTCTTTCCGCTTAGATGTGCTCCTTTTTTGTGACTTTGATTGGTTGCCAAAATAACCTTATTTTTCCTTCACATTTCCTTCCAAAATGACCATGGTGGAGAGGAGGGCAGTAAGTTGAAATAAAATGTAGATATTAACTTGTTGACTCAGCAGAGATGACTGAACCATCTCCAACAAAGTTAGTGAGCTGCCTTGGGGAACTGTCCGGCTTCTGCTCAGTTTCACCTCTAACGACAGCAAGTCATGCAGCTTCTCTGTTATTCCAAGTTTACTGGGTGAAAAGTTCAGGGGCTGTTCTATGTGATGGATAACTTTTTTCCAACTTTAGTATTTTATGAGACTAAAGATGAGGAAAGAACAAATGATTCCTGTAAGGCCAGAAACACTTGAAAAATATCCCACCCTTAATAATAAATAAATAAATATTGAAACAACAAGATCTATTTTTAACCTTTGGTCCACAAAGACTTAATGGAAAAAATGGTAGTAACTGCTATTGAGTTGGGGGATGGATGGAGCACACCTTTTCTAGAGGGCCGTTTATGAAGATGCATCAAAAGTCTTAAAATGAACATCGTTGGTCTAGCAATTCCACTAAAATGAGTTCTAAGTAAATAATCACATACTCAAGAACATGAATTTTAAGTAGAAAAATTCTTATCATAGCATTATTTGTGATATCAAAAATCAAAGATTGATGGTCTTCACCTAGGGGAAATTGTCTGATACCACATAGCAGACTAGGGACCCTGGCAGAGCACAGGACTGGTGTGGCTCATGTGCACACTCAACATGCCAGGTCCTGCAGTCCCCTGCCCCACCCACAGACATAGAGGCCACATGACCAAGTCAGACCCTGTGTTGACCAGGTGGATGTGGTTTTATCAACTTAAAGACTATTTATGTCCCACCTTTGGCTTCAAGATGAATGGAATGTCCTATGGCTTGGTTGCGAAGGCCAGCCTTTTACCCTTGCCACTGGAAAGAGCTTATTGCTAACTTCTCCCTTGTTGGTATTTCTGTCCTTTTCATTCCCCGTCCTCACACCCACTCTGACCTCTGGTCACAAGGAAACCTGCTTAACAGCATAAGTGTCAGCCACCTAGCATAATGCCTGTCAGTTTTCACACTCAGCAAATGTCAGTGCCTTCGTTTTTATACTACATTGGAGACATTGGGCTTAGCACATTGTAGCTTCAGATAAAATTGTGTGGCCTGGCCAGGTACCCCAAGGACTCTGAGAACAATGAGTGACTATAGGAGAGGAGAGCAGTAGCTGGTGAACCAACAAGTTCTTTCCACAGGCCTTGCTGGCTGGCCTCTTACCTGATGATTATCAGAGGGATGAAGTACACCAGGAAGGCCACGATGGTCATGTATGGGGTCCAGTAGGAGTCATCAGGCCACAGGGCCCAGCATTGCACTTCACCATTGGAAAGTTTCCTTTTCCCAAATATTATCAGGGTGGGAATGGAGAACAGGAAAGAGAGGCTCCAGGCAATCATGATGAGGAACTTGGCTTGCTTTTCTGCTCAAAGGAAAGGGAGGGATGCCTGGGTATCTGGAAACCCACAGCATACTTGGAGCTCACAGCAAAAATGATCACTGTCTGGGAGAAACTAAACCTTTCAGGGCCTCAGTTTCCACATGTGTAAATGGGGTTATCAGGACCTGCATATGGGACTAATACAAAGAGCAAAGAAAATACTCATTCAGAGTTAGCACATTGCCTGGCACCAGATTCCATGCTCCCCAGTTTCTACATTCCTTGTTCTTCTATGATTTTCCTGACTTGCAAGATTGATGTATCCATTGTTATAGTATTAGGGAACTCAGTTTGGATCATACATATTTGATAGGCTACTGTGCAAATGTGGTCTCCGGTTATCTTGCCCATGGATGGAGTCTTTGTTTTGTCTGAGATCTTTCCATTGTTCTGGGAAGCATGGTGACAGTGTTTGAAATTTGTTTGCCAAATGGTAAGGGACCTTCTTTTTTTGAACAAAGAGGTAATTGTAGAACAGAGAAGGAACACTGGGCTTGGCTTTGGAGAGCAGGATTCAGTCAAATCAAACCCTAAAGCATGGTAGCTATGACCTTTCATAGTACATTTGGCCTATTTCAGACATAACGTTCTGACCTGACTTTGGGAAAACCACTAAGTCTCGGTTATTTTCTATAGTGGTATTAAAAAATATACTCTACAACAAATGGTATACTCTTCAACAAATGTTGTTGAGAAAACTGGAAAGCCACAATCAAGGAAAGGAAAGTCAGACTACAATCTATACCATACACAAAAAGTAACTCAAAATGTATGGAAGATTTAGATGTAAGACCCGAAAGTATAAAATATGTAGGAGAAAACATAGGCAAAATACCCAAGAGCATGGACTTTAGGGATGTCTTTGGGGACTCAACTACAATGGCCAGGGAAACAAAGCCAAAACCAGACAAACTAATACATCAAACTAATACACTTCTGCAACGAAATTATCATTAACATGAAAAGACACCCTATTGAATGGTAGAAAATACTTGCACATCATACATCTGACCAGGGGTTAATATTTAAGATCTACAAAGAACTCATACAACTCAACAAAAGGAAAACAAATAACCTAATAAAAAAAGGAGATAGGATCTAAATAAACATGTCTCCAAAGAAAACATAAAGATGGCAAACAGGCACATGGAAAAAGGAAGGGCCAAATGGACTGAGATGCAGGTTTATGGGTGCTCTGGTGCTGGGCATGTGTGATGCCATCCAGCTGAGAGTGTGTGAGCCTATATTCCTAACTCATATATTAGTGCAAATCAGTGTTACCTCAATAAAAAATTATACAATTAAAAACAACTTTGGTAATGCATTCATATGTAATATATTGATTGCATATATAAAAATGAGTTTATAATATATATGCTGCTTTATAAGCCAATTAATTATTCTATAAAAATAATTGTGACAATCTTTTTCATGTCAAATCTGCATCTATGCGAATGGCAGTCACATTTTTTCATACAAGAGTCTTTCTTCCAATATAATTTTATCTTAAACCCAGTGCAGGACATCCAGTCTGAAGCTGGATGACAGCCAGAACCTTCCAAAGGAAGGTTGGAATAATTCCACCTGCCCTGGAATAATTCCACAAAAATGAGTCCTCTGGGGATCAGTGTGTGAAGTGCAATTTGAAAACCACCCATAATAGAACATTTTTTTCCATGGTTACACCAAACTCCATTTTTATAGCCAAATAATATAGCCTGTTATTTAGTATTTAATAGTTTCCAATTATTTTTTATTATACATAACCATATGCATCTCTTATGTATCCATATGTATCATCCTAAAGTTATTTCCTAAGGAGGAACATTTAGAAGATTTTGACAAATGTTGTTCAATTTCTCCCAGAAGAGTCTACAGTTATGATTCCCACCAGGGTATCCTTCCCAACACTAAGAGGATTGTGCCTCTGAATCTTCTTTTCAGGTTTGTATGTTTTCTTATCCTGATGTTTAATCCTGCAGTTCCAGCTGTACAAAAGAGCACTTCTATTACTTTTTGTTTCTTTTTTTCTTAGTAGCTTCTTTTATGACCTCTGCCTTCATATGTTCTTATTTCTTTGCCAGAGTTACTTATATGAAGGATATTAGCTTTTTGCCCTTTTATATGCAGAGGTTTCCTTTTCTGTCATTTTGCTTTTTTTTTTCCTAATTTTTTTTTTTAATTTTATAGAGGCATGTTTATTTATTTGTTTGTTTGTTTTTTGTTTATACAAGCACTGGGTACAGTCAGAAGCGCGGGAGGGTGAGAAAATTCACCAGAGCCAGAGCGGGGAGCAGAGCAGGCAGAAGGACCGAAGGACACTGCTGAGGGGAGCAGCGGGCGGCAGGAGAGGTCTGCGCGCCATGTGGGACCCTCCTCCAGTGGCTGGGGAGCAGCCGGGGATCGAACCGGCGCCGCAGAGGCTGCGGGCAGGTTCGCAACCCAGCGCTCAACTGCTGCGCCACCGGGGAGGCCCTCTGTCATTTTGCTTTTTAAGTACATTTACTATATATATCATTTCTATAAAGAATTTCAAATGTTCCCTGTAGTAAAACTATATACATTACCTTTACTGTTTTTGCTATTAGTTTTATTTCTAGAAACATCTTTTCTTACTCAAAATCATAAAACATTTTATTAATTCTCATATTTTTTCATGTTTAAAATTTTTACTTTTTTTGAGACTCTACCCACAATATGGTGGAATAGAGAGGTTGGGATTACCCTCTCCCTTATAAACTACTATAAAGAAATTCACTCATGGAAGACCCAGATGCCATCCCATTGATAAGAGTCCCAGGACTTTCCCATGGATATCTTGAACTAAGATTGATATCAGAAGGAAAAAGAAAAAATATTGGATGGTTTCACTTATAGGAGGAAACATAGGGGAACCAAATAAAGGATTATGAAAAAGAAGACAAAACTAACAGCCAACTATAAATCGGAGACATTCAACAGGGGAGGGGGAGGGAGAAGGATTAAAACAGGGGCAGGATAAGCACAAGAGACCATGGTGATGGTTCACGGGAGTCCTGATGGTGGGAATTTTATGGAGATTACACCTGAGAGGAGGAAGCAAACTGCACAAAAATGAATAATGACATAAAATATATATAGAGAAATTAAAAAAAAAAATTGATGGTCTCTGAGGAGAAGTGAGAGGAAGTCAAGGTTGGGTGAGTGGATACCCCAGCAGGCTGGGGTTGACTGCAGAAGCCACTTGTGAAACTCTAAGGAGTTCTAGGAGAGTGGGCACAGACCTGCCCTGGGGCAGTGAAAACTCTGAGGTGCAGACCTGGGAAATTGGGATCTCTTTAGTCCAAAAGGACACTGAAACCTCCTTTTCTTCTTCCCTCCCTTCCTCCCCTCCTCTCTCCCAGAAGAGATCAAAGAGAAGTCAGGATGAGCCAGGTCAGACTCCAGGAAAAGCCAACAGCAGAAAGGAGGACTTGTGAGATAACTCTTGAATGCCTTGGGGAATTACACAAACAGCAGGCAGTTATTGCAGTCCTGCAGAAGTGGCAGCAGAGTGGGGGTGGGGTGGCAATGGCCAGTGCTGGAAGCCACAGTGACAAGTTAGCATATGCTTGTCTGCCACTCTCTGGCATAGCACTGCCTCCTGGCCAAGCACAAATTAGACCCAGAGTATGAGCCTGGTAGTCCAGACTTAGCTCCTCTCACTGGGAGATCAGGCAGAGAGAAGCAGGGAGGTGGGGTAGGAAATTAAGACAGCCTAAGCACAGAATACAGCCTGCTGCAGAATGAAAGAAGAGGAGGTAGAGGTGACTAATTCCATTCCTCAAACTGAAATTGAGTATCAAAGCCCCAGATTCCCCAGCTGACCCTTCCTTAGGCCTAGGTAAATAAAGAAGAGAAATAAACAAAACTGAATTCCCAGTACCCCAGACACGTGCGTGTGCACATGCATGCACACACAGACACACACATGCACACAGAGTAAATAAAGTGACACACATGCCTAGAAGCAAGGGACATCTCAACACAAGATGGAAAAGCAAAATGAGGACAGAAGTCCTGGGACAAATAGACAAGCTACAGAAATAGAGGTCCTATCAGACTAAGACTTCAAAACAATATTGAAAATACACCAAACAAGGATTTCCCCAAATTTAGCCCAGACACTCCGCAGGCAAAAAGAGGATGGAAAAAAGTGTTCAGAATCCTACAAGACAAGAACTGTCTTCCAAGACTATACTCTCCTACGAAAGTGCCATTTAAGTATGAAGGTGAAATAAAGGCTTTTCCAGACAGAATTGATGGAGTTTACCACCACCAGACCTGCCCTTCAATAAATGTTGAAGGGAGTTCTACAAAATAAAAGAAAAAATGAAACACAAATTTCTGAGCAAAATGGCTAGCAATACAAAACCCAAAGCATGAGCAAGAATATTGAGTCAACAATAAAACACTAAGGGGGAGGAAGAAATGGACAAAACCTTCATAGTCAAATGTCAGAAGGCAGACCAGCTCATAAAGGACTTAGGACACAGGAATTAAGTAAAATGCCCTTGGTAACAACTAACTAAAGATCCACAACACAGATGCACAACAACAACAACAACAACAAAACAAAGAAACTGATAGAAAAACTAAAGAAAGCTACCCAGAAAAAGCAAGGCAGAGAGAAACAAAAGAAAAAAAGAAACAAACATAAAACAATCAAAAACAAAATGACTGACAATAAACAGTTCATTCAATAATCATCCTAAATGTGAATAATCTGAATTCACGGATTAAAAAGACTAACAATGTGGGTGAAAAAGTTTTAGGTAGAGGGGGACAAGAAATGGAAGGAAGTGAACCATTTATTAATGTAACAGGGTGGTCCCCAGGAAAGGGGGAGTTTCCAGGTTCCCTGTCCCACCCAAGGGAGGGTGGAGCTGAACAGGGAGAGAAGAAGCTGCAGAGGAGACTGAGGAAGGAAGCAGGATGGAGCCAGAGGAGCCCTGGAGGAGGCACATGGGGCCAAGAGACATGTGAAGAAACTGCGCTTGCCTTTTGTTCGTGGACTGGGTGACACAGATGTGGGTGAGAGACCCGAGGGGAGGTGACAATGGAGGCTTTGATTTTGATTTTGATTTTGCTCTTTTCCTTCTGGGCTTGTCTGGTTGTTTCTGACCCTTTTCTGTGGGTCCCCACTAGAAGATGCTTTGGACTTGTGGCAGGCTTTGGGGCCTTGCCCTGGGCCAATCCCATTTGGATGGACTTTTACCCACGAGGGGACGGGTAACTTTGGGTGCTTGATTTAGAAACTAGATTCTTTGCCTTTCCTGTATTGTTTCCTAATTGTATTAAAGTTCCTTCCCATTAAAGTCTCATGTTTTGTGTTAATGCGGCAGATGGCAGAACCCTATATAGAATAGAATAGGCAGGTTTGTGGGGTTTGGGCTGCCCCTCTCCCTGCCCTGTAACATTAAGAGGATAATAGTAGGGAAAACAGTTTCATCCATACCCACGCCCGCTTACCTGATTAAGCTAGCTTACCTCCTTGCAAGAACTTCATGGGGTAAACGATGGCATGGTATCTGTCAATGCTGAGGGACACCAGGACATAGGTAGAGGCATAGAGCAGCACAACCTGAAGACAGGAATAAGAGGGGGTACATGACTTCATAGAGGTGAGGAAATGCATGTAATGGGAAGGATATTTGTGCTTTTTAGAAAACCTCGACACTGAACCGAATGAAGGGTGAGCTTTGGGTTAGGAAGAGTCATTCCACTGACCAGGAAGCAAGTCGCTCTCCTTGGTGTGGGAATTTCCCTTGTTAGTGGTGACGGGTGGGGGTGCTCCCCACTCTTGCTCTTTCATTCTGTTGGCTTCTTGAGGCTCTACATTTCAGTATCAGTCCCTCTTGACATTTGCATGGTACATTTGTTTGCAAATGACTTTTAAAGCTTCACTAATTTTCTTTGCTACAATTGACATTCCACCGTAATCAGAATAAAAGTTCAGTTTCCTTTTATCAGTGTGAGTTGTTGAGAGGTGATAGCATGGTTCCAGGAAACCCATATGCTGTTTGGAATCATTTATCATCATCTGTGTGTCACCCTCCGAGCTCCCCTCACCACTCACTTCTCTAGCAGAGCTGCTTGCTAGGGTCAGTCCCTGGGTCTCCTCTTCCTCCTCCCCACTCTCCTTTTTATTAACCTCCCCCATGCCCTTTAATTATCCTGTGTACAGTGCTACTTGCATATTTCTGCAGGAAAGGGAAATGGGATGTAAGAGGTAAATATCTCTTGCGGAAAAGGCTACTCAAAATGCAATTAAATGAAATACCTCTAAAGGGTGGTCAAGGTTGGAAATTTTCAGGTGACTCTGAACCTCATTTCTATCAACGATATTTCTGTTTTGTAAACTTTAGGTCAAATATAGAAGATAAAAGAGTAACTCACAGGCTTATGTCTTAAGTCTAAGGATGAGTGTCTGAATTTCTTCTAAAATGAAATAGAAATATCAAAACTGGCAATAATTTTGTGTTGAATTTGTACTTTTTGTTCTTTTCCTGGCTCAAATAGTAATTTGCTACATTATTGTTCTTTATTAATCTTTTTATATAACACTATCACAAACACACCCCTGCACTAGTGTTGTGGAAGGTGCCACAGGAGGGGGTAACTGTCAGAGAGTGAAGATTCTCTTTGGGGATATGAAAAGACATTCTTCTCTTGCTAAAAAGGTGACAAGTTGACAGAGAGAGAAGTGACAGCCAAATTTAACAATAAAAATATCAGACAGTTGTTCCCTTAGAGATAACGGGACCTTCTATGTGTGGCTCATGAATTCACTAAGGCTGCCCACACGCAGTTGAGGAGGTGGCATCAAGGAAGTGGGAAAAGAGTTCCTGACGGCAGCAGAACCCTGTGGAGTAAAACTTCATGGTGAGAAGTTCACAAAAATCTGTGCCATCGCCACTGGGTTAAGCCAGGGGCTCATACAAGTTTGGAATCTGGAGCAGGAGGAATGGCAGCAGAGGGTTGCCCCAAGGGCAGGGAACAACAAGAGATGCATTGGAGACACAGTCAACAAATGCTTAATTTCAGGGGTCTTCAAACATTTAAGCAGAGTGAAAAATTAAGATTAAAGGTGTCTCAGATTGTCTTTCCTGTCTTGCCTCTTCTCCACAAAAATCAATGCCAGAAAACAGCACAAAACATGTTTAGAGCTCTGAAAGAAAAATTATGATCCAAGAGTTTTATAAATATCATTTCAGTGATAAGGAACAGAATAATTTTCTTAGATATAAAAAAAGGGATGAAAATATAACATTACACTCTTTATGAAAAATTTTCCTTGAGGAAATATTTCTGCTGATGGAGAGTAGTTTCAATATCAAGAATTCAAGAAGAGGGAAAAAGACAGAATGGTAACAATTATGGTAAACAATGAGTCAGAAATACAAGATACTTGCAAAATAACTGAATATGCATTTCAAGTAAAAAATTGGGGGAGTTACATGAAGGGAGAGTAAAGGAACAAGTCATTTTAAATTTCCATTTAAGCATTTTAAAGATCACTTTTGCTTTTTATTTTGAGATATTAAATTTAAAAATTAAAGAGAAGTTATCACAGTGAAATAAAAATGGAGAAAAGTAATGTATTAGTTTCCTATGGCTCCTGTACCACACTGCCACAAACTTTGTGGTTTAAAGCAACTTAAATCCATACTTTCACAGTTGTGGATATCTGAAGTCTACAATCAATTATACTGGATCAAGAAAAGGTGATAACAGGGCCAAATCTATCCCTTCCAGACAGAGGCAGCTGCCATCATAAATGGGGACATATCAATTTCATCGCCCCTGTCCTTGGTTACAGTGTTTTCTCCTCTTGTGTCTGTGTGCCAAGTCTCCCTGGCCTTCTCTCTTGTAAGATACATGATGATTACATTTGGCCCCAAATGGATAATCCAGAACAATATCTTCATTTCAAAATTCTTAATCACACCTTCAAATCCTTGTATGCCATATGAGGAAATTTTTTAAGGGTAAGGATTTGGATAACTTTGAGGAGGCCATTTTTCAGTCTACTACTGTTAATAACAAAGTAGTCAGGGAAAAAAATAGGAACTTTTTAAAATATTTTATTTTATATAATTCTTACATCATTTTTCATTTTTGCACAATGTATGCATTTTCATTTTGGTTAAATTTCCCATACAATTGCACCCACCTCCCCTACCCCCGTCTTTTGAACCTAATCCTTCCTCTCCCCGCCCTACCCCCCGTAGTGTGTCTCTGGTTTATGGTTGCTTGTTGATTTTAATTTTTACTTTATTATAATTAGGTTTTTTTCCTGGTCCCTTATTTAGGTTTTCTAAATTCCTGCTATAAGTGAGACCATCCGGTATTTTTCTTATTTCTGACTTATTTGCTGAGCATGATCCCTTCAAGCTCCATCCATGTTGTTGCAAACTGAATGTGTTTATCTTTTTTGATTGCTGAGTTATATTCCATTGTATATGTACCACATCTTCTTAATCCAGTCATCTATTTTTGGGCATTTGGGTTGTTTCCAAAGCTTAGCTATTGTAAATAGTGCTGGATAAACATAGGGGTGCAGGTGCCCTTTGGAATTAATGTTTCTGTGTCATTTGGGTAAATACCTAGGAATGGAATTGCTGGATCATATGGAAGCTCTAAGTTTAGTAGGTCCAGAAATCTCCACACAGCTCTCCATAGTGGTTGGACCAGTTTGCACTGCCACCAACAGTGCAGAAGAGTTGCTTTTTCTCCACACCCTCGCCAACATTTGTTGTTGCTAGTTTTTTTAATATGTGCCATTCTCACTGGTGTGAGATGGTATCTCATTGTAGTTTTGATTTGCATTTCCCTGATTACAAGTGATGTTGAACATTTTTTCATATGCCTGTTGGCCATTTGCATTTCCTCTTTGGAGAAGTTTCTTTTTAGTTCTTCTGCCCATTTTTTGACTGGATTATTTTCTTTGTTGTTGTTGAGTCTCATCAGCTCTTTGTAGATTTTTGTGATCAGTCCTTTATCGTTAGTGTTGTGTGCAAAAATTTTCTCCCAGTCGGTGGGGTTTCTCTTTGTTTTGGTTATTGTCTCTTTTGCTGTGCAGAAGCTCTTTAATTTGATGTAGTCCCAGCTGTTTATCTTTGCCTTCACTATCACTGCTTTGGGTGATGTGTCTGTAAAGACATCTTTGAGGTGCATGTCATGTAGTGTTTCGCCTATATTTCCTTCTATATAAAAAATAGGAACATTTTTAAAAATTCAACACAAAGATTAAAGCAAATTGGCAGAAATAACATCAAACACAATTTGTCACAATAAATATGCATGGCTTAAGCTTCTTCCCAAAATCCAAATATATACTAATTAGAAAGTAAACATCTAAAACTAAATGATTCCCAAAGCTTAAAAATAGAGTAATGGTCAAAGATGTATCTAACAATTAAAAGCTAAAAGGAAGCATTCATTAAAGTCAACTAAATTAAATTCAAAGCAAATAGCATTGCATGGGATAAAGGAATAATTTATATAGATGAAAGATACAATGTATAATAGCAGTGGAATATTAAGAAGCCTACATGACAAGTATATGCAGATACTACATGCATATCTAAATACATATGTATAATTAAATATATATCTTTATATATATGTATATAACTCAATGATCAGAATTTTAGAGGGAAAGTAAATACCTAGATAGAAATAATTTTTAAGAATAATACATATTATTGTTGAATTCTAGATAACATTTTAAGAAATTGTCATATACTTAACAACTAAGAAAAGAGACTCCAAATAGATTCCAAAAAGTGGAACTTAAGCTATTCAGATATTTTAAACAAGTAATGATAGTTGAAATTAGTATCATGGCTATTTTCTTTAACTACAATTTGGAAATTTAAACATTCTTGTAATTAACTTGAGTGAAGAAGGAAATCAAAGTACAATTATAGTCAATTCATAAATGTCAACAATGAAAATTTAAAATATCAACAACATATGGGATGCCATTTGGAGAACAGATGGCAGATTTGGGACATATGTCTGAATTTTCACTATCCCATCCCTAAATTCTAACAAAAATGACCTAGGAAATATAAAATAAAAGAAAATCTTGCAGAGGTGTGAGGCTTAAAAGCAGGAAACTTGAAAAAAATTACTTAGAAAAATGCTACATTGGATTCCTTTAAAGAAAGGATCCTTGGACTTTCATAAATTGGTATAACTTATTCTTTAGAACAATTTTAGATGTACAGAAAAAATCAAATAGATAGTATAGAAAGCTGCCATGTTACCCTCCTGTCCCTTTTACTAACATCTTACATTGGAGTTCATTTATTAAAATTGATGAATCAATATTGACACTTTATTATTGGTATTCCAATTAAAGTTGCTATAAGTTTCACTCTTTGTGTTACATTCCATGGGTTTTGTATATGATGAGTCACTTTTCTTTTGCTGCTTTTAAGATTCTTAATTTTTTTTTTGCTCTTTTTATTTTATGACACATTTAGATATGGATTTTTTTCAAGTTTCTCTTCTGGTGTTTATTGAGCTTCTAGAATAGGTAGATTGTTATTCTTAAAGTTTTGTCAGATTTAGCCAGTAGTATTTGAGATATTACATCTATCATTTGCAATAAATGTTAAGCATTTCTAAACCTTTTCTTTCTTTTCCTGTGGAATTCCCATTATGAATATATTGGTATACTTGAGGCTGTCTTATAGGTCTCTGAGGCTTTATTCAGATTTCTTCATTCTTTTTTCTTTCTGTTCCTTTGGTTGAATAATTCAGTCCAATGGGCTCATTTTCAAGTTTGCTGATTCTCTCTTCAGCCTGCTTAAATTTGCTGGCAAATCCCCCTAGTGAAATGTTTTACTTCAGTTATTATACTTTTCAACTCCAGAATTTCTATTTAACTGTATTTTATAATTTCTAAGTCTTTATTGTTATTCTCTACTTGGTGACACCTAGTTTTCATAGTTTCTTCTAATACTTTACACAAACTTCCTTTAAGTTTTTGCACATATTTAACATAGTTGATTAAGAGTTTTTTCAAGTATACCAATGTGGGGTTTACTTAGGAACAGTTTCTTTTGATTTTCTTTTTATCCTGTGAATGGATCATACTTTATTACGCGTCTTGCATTTTGTTGTTGAAAAGTTACAATTGGATTTGTACCTCTCTCTGGGGTTTGTGGTTGTTGCTGTTTTATTATTATTATTATCATTATTATTAGTTTTTATTTAGTGAGTTTACTAAACAAATTCTGTAAAGTATGCATTCTTTGTCCTGTGTGGTCACTAAACTCTCTACTTAAGCTTAGTGATTGGTTAATAAATTGAATAGCAATTTTCTTAAGTGCCCGGAATCAATGTCTCCTAGTCATTGCAGAGTGACTTGTGTGAGTGTTAAGGCATAATTTTATCACTCAGTCAGGTGGCTGACAACTTTGCCTTTGCCTTCACTTTTTGCCTGCACAAAACCTCAGGTCAGCCAAAGGTGATTTTGTAGGTGTCTCTGTTTCTTCCTGAGCATGTACACAGTCCCAAGAATACATTCAGTTTTCTAGAATTCTTAATATGTCAGAGATTTTCAAATCCCCTATGAATATTTCACTACCCAGTTTATGTTTTCAATTTTCTATTAGTTTATTGTTTTCCCCAACTTTTATTAATCCTTTTGACATCTGTGGAGTTAATCAATTGCCTGTAATTGTTTTTGACAAATGTCCCCAGGGAGGAGGTTTATCATTGAGTCAAATAAAATACAGACAGCCTTGCAAGTGGGGTCTTCCAGAGAACCACCAGACATATTGAATTATGACACTTTACTGGGAATGAGGCTTTTCAATCCTCTAGTCCTCTTCTTCTCTGTGTAGTGGTGCCAGACTCTGTTTTCACTGTGAGCGCTACCACAGAGCTGGAGACTGGATGATGAGACTAGTACAAGCTAAAACCCCACAAATAATATTTTTCTTACTGAGATTCAGGCATTTTATTGACTAAATGCTCCCTGGATTATTGAAAACCTTTGATTAATCTCCAGAGTGGTTAAAAATTGGATTCTGAAAATTCTGAAGAGTTTTCTTGTTTCTTTTATGGAGAAAAATATTGCCGTTTCTTATTCTGTCATTTTTGCTATGTCATCAAAATATATTTTGTATTATTTTAATACTCATTGGAAATACTGTTAGAAGAATGTTACTGGCATAAATAATTCTGAATCAACATTTTAATTTAGTAATTAGGAAAAAAACAGGTTTTGTTTTTGAAAAATGGGCAGATAAATGTGGTAACCAGCTTCTAAGATGTCCCCAGTGATCCTTGCCTCTGGTTTTACTCTCTTTTATGACTCCCTTCCCTTGTATTAAATTAGGTGTGACATGTGTGAGTAATAGAATAATGTGGAGGTGATGATATATGACTTTACAGACTAGTTCATAAAATATATTGCCGTTTCCGCATTGGTCCCTTGAATTTCGTATCCTTGCGAAAGCCAGTTGCTGTCTTGTGAGAACCTGTGGATAAGAATACCTGCAGAGAGGCCCATGTGAAGAATGAGAACTTATCCAAAATCAGCAGGAACTTGCCAGCTTCATGAGGAAATGACCTTGAAAGTGTGCTCAGGCACAGTCAAACCTCCCAATGACTATAGTCCTACACAACACATGTAGTTCTCGTGATAACTGTTCACTAGGCCTGCCAAGCCACACTGTTTCTGAACTCTACTCTTGACCAACAAAAACTGAGATAAGAGGTATTTCTTTTTCTAAGCCACTAAATTTTGGTGTGACTTGTTTCTCAACAAATGATACAGCAAGCAATTGATCACATTTACTTAAAAGGGAGCACAAATCTTCAAAGAGAAATTGAAATATGTTCTAAAAAATTATCCCTGAGAAAATACCAGCCCCGGACAATAGAGGCAGGTCTTTCACTTCTACCCAATGTTCAAGGTTTTGTTCAGAGCACAAAGAAGATTGCAATTGTAACTATTCTGTACCATTTTCTGAGGATGGAATAACTCCATTACCAAGATCTGAAAATGATAGAATAAATGAGAAACATAATCTCATTTATGAACATAGATGCAAAAATTCTAAAAAAAATCTTATTAACAAAAGGAATCTAGGAGCAGATGGTTTTTCTAGAAATGCATTATAGGTCTACGAAGCTACAAAAATTTAGACCAGAAATACCGGCATCAGAATTGAAATATGTTATTGAAAAATAACTTTAAGAACCCAGAAACAGGACATAATAAACCTAATACCAGTTATAAAATAGTCCATTCTTTCCATTCTTAGTCAAAGTATCTTAACCTATATTACATACATATGTGGTATATTAATGCATTTAATTATGTAATAATATTTATATGGCATATATGTAATAATTTACACCAAATATATTTGCCTAGTTTTTATATATTTCACACTGAAACATTTGACAGGCAAAGCATAAACACATTCAATATAAAAAAATAGAGTACAGCAGTAATTCAGAAAATACCAAGTTTCTTGGTTATACAATAACTGAAAGTAGATAATTTAGATAAAAAGGCAATTTAGAGAAAAAAAATTAAAATATATTTTTAAAAGTCCAACTCAGATGGTAATATGTGAAAAGCAATTTACAACTACTAGAGTATTTTAACTATTAGAGCTAAATTTGAAGAGTTAAAGTTAGAACACCTATTCCTATTTTCTAACAAAATGCCTAAGTTCATCGAAAAGAATGGTACCTGGTGTCAGTTACTTTTGGGGAGTGGAGAGATGGTAAAAAAAAAAAGCGACAAGTTTTATGAAGATTATTTACCTGAATGTTTGTCCTCTCAAAATTCACATTGGAATCCAACCCACCAAGCAAGAGTGTTAGATGGGGACTTTGGGAGATAATTAGGTTAAAAGGATGGAGCCATTCTGCTGTGATTAATGCTTTTAGGAAAGGGCCTGAGAGAGCACCAAGCCCCTTCTGCCAGGTGAGGAAGCAGGAAGTTTGCTACCTGGAAGACAACACTTACCTGACCATGCTGGGCCCTGAGCTTGGACTTCCAACCTCCAGAACTGGGAGAGATAAGTGCTGTTAGTAAGCCATTTGTTCGATGATATTTTGTTATTGCAACCCAAATAGACTGTGCTTGCTTCGGCCTCACATATACCAAATAGACTAAGGCAGAAAATGTCAAAAGTTTAATTTTGACCCTAAAATTTTACTTACTGCTTAAAATATGAATGTTTATGTCTTGTTATTGCTTATTTGGCTTCCTCTATGTATTATTTTTTGGCAAAAAACCCCACATTTATAAATCTTACAAATTTTACTTGTCTTTTCAACTAGGAGGGAATGAGCAGTTTTCTTGCATAAAAGTGCAGGATTTATATTATTTTCCTTAAGAAGAATATTAGAGCTAATTTTGGTGTCAGTTCGCCTCATCACATTTGGAAGGTACTACATACCTGCAAGTAGCGGACCCCCCGGCAGACCAGGTCGGGAGCCAAGAAGTCTCCGGTGACTCGCCAAATAATATCTGTCAAGATGTTAACCAATCCTGTGAAAAAGTCTAACACAAACACACAAGTGGTTAATTTTAGTCTCTCAAATTTGCAGCTGTGCATAATAGAAATGAATTCCTGAGGATTTTTTTTTCTGATTTATCAGGTGGCTGTTAATGAAATAAATTAAGGCAAGGCAGGAGTTGCTTGGCTTTCATTGGGTTTGTTACACCTCAGATGTAATCACTTCAGGAGCATTTGGTAGTGACTGAAAGAAAATCACACTAATCATAGAGTTAATCTTTTTAAGTCACAAAAGAAGTTTTAAAGGGATTTAGACCTATATTAAAGCCAGGGCTATATGCGTATTGATAAAAGCCAAAATGAAAGGGAAATGTCTAACAAAAACCTCTCAAAGGTCCCCTTTCTTCACCCATTAGTTTATAACTTGGACCTCTTGTCACCTCTCTATCATGAATTGTAACTCCACTCTCCCCAGGTTCCCTTCTTCCTTCTTTCAACATATGCCTTTGGAAAAAGTTTACTGGATGACCTATCAATTGAATTAACTTAGTTGGTTAAACGAAGGACCCTAGGCCAAGATCTGATGCCAGGATCAGAAATTTTGTGTTCCTGATCATCTATACTCATTTCTATAACAGATTTTGTAAGTTGTAAATATTTCTATAATGAAAATGATAAAATATACTGCTCACCTAGAAGCTCTCTCCTACCCTCCATGACTGATATCACTTGTGATCCAGAATCTTCTACAAAACACAGCTATAGTTATTCTCTACTGATTGATGGATAGGACTGGAACTTAAGAATATATAAGCAAGAATTCACTGACTTGGGGTCACTTTTTTGGGACGTGGGAAGTACACCCTTTCCATGACGCAAGAGGGCTGTCACACTCATTGCTAGGGTAGTTTTTTAGAAACCTGGAGAGTGATGGTTATTACTGAGAAAAATAGAAATGGCTGAGTTGTCCTGGTAGACAGTAGAGAAAAGAATAAAAAGGTGGAAGGAAGTAGGCATGCTGCAGTGGTTACAGTATGTGGTCAGAAGATCCACTAGAGAATTCTCTTCTATGGCAGCATTCAGAAGACACATCTTTCATCAAGGCTACCAGAAATACACTGGTGAAGAAGCTCAGTGGTCACTTGTATCTGCCTGCAAGGGCAGATGGTAGGAGAGGTGGCCACAGAGTCAGGGCTTATGACACTATGGGAAATGTGTGCCATGATCATTATCCCCCATTATCTATGGTTATTCATTTGGGTGACTGGACACTGAGGAGAGAGAAATATTTAAAAATTTTGAGGAATGTTAAGCACAAGTATCTATGTTGACATGATACCTAGAGATCGGAAGTGTCATTAAGCAGTTATTATATCCTTGGTAAGGATGTATTTAAAGTATCTAAGGATGATTTAAAAACTATGAGATAAGTTCCCCATTTTATAGATGACTAGACTAAGTGAAGTCAAAGAATTTTCTTAAGATTTCATAGAAAGTTAGAGGTTACCCAGTTGTAGTGCCAGCAAGGCACAGAGCAGGTTTTCTATGGTCCGGGTAGACAGGTAAAGGAGAGCCCTGGAGCCCCAGGCTTTCAATGATCTTTCTACACCATTTGTAGTGAGGCAACCAGGTTCAGGGCAGGCAGAGGGGCTGGGGGGCCAGGAGGCTGGTAGGCCTCCCAGCCCTCAGTAAATCTTCACTCTTTCTAGGCTCCCAGGTGTTCTCTCATGGGCTCATCCTTGGTCTCTACTGCACTCCGCTGCCAGGCCCTCTACAACCATGCTCTGCTGCCCCACGCCTGTGACGTTGTCCTTACATGTCTGGCCTACCGGCTCAGGCACGCCCACTCACTACGCCCACACCACGCTCCAGGTGCCGCTATCAAGCCTGTGTGTAAGAACACAAGTGTCGATATTTGATGCAAATGGCGGGAGGGCAGAAAAACCTGATCACTTCCGTTTACCCTACACCAGGTTTATAACCCAATTTCTTAGATGCCCATGTCCATGGTCTCCAGGCTATTCTCTATGTGCACTAGCAGAAACTGTTAATTCCCCTAGTGAGGGAAACCTGTGGGGCAAAGGGTATTCTGGTTTCTTGTGGCCAGTGCAGGGAGTCAGGAATGTTCCCACTTCCCCACAGCATATTCTCTTGGGCTTCCCCTGAGGCTCCCAACTTGCTAATTTTGGAAGAATATCTGGAACAGTAAAATGGGCTGACAAAATATCCCCACAACACACAGCAACTTGAGACCTCAAGGGAATATGATACCTGTAGGGTAGGTAAAAGGTATCAGGCTTTTCTGCCCTCCCGCCATTAGGATGGATGATGGAACCCTGTGGTCCTGAGTGCATGCCTGATGGCGGGCACCTGGAGTAGGGTGTGGGCATGCGTAGGTGGGTACACCTGAGCTAAAAGAGACTGGTTTATAAGGGTGGTGCAGCAGAGTGCGGTGTGCTGGTAGTGCGGTGTCGAGGGTGGAGGAGTGGAGTGTACGGAGGAGTACGGCGACTACAAACAATGGCGAAGAGCATGTGGCTGCTAGAACTGTTCATAAAACTACCCGGAATGGGTTGGTTGCCTTACAATACCATAGGAAAGAATGATTCCACAGAATCCAACCGCAGATATGGAAGATCTTCCTCTCAAATAGAGTTCAAGGGCCTCCCCTGGTGGCGCAGCTGTTGAGTCTTGATCTGCGAGGCTGTCCGCAGCCTCTGCAGCACTGGTTTGATCCCCGGCCACCGAGCGAGGGTCCCACATTGCATGCAGACCTCTCCTGCCACCTGCTGCTCCCCTTAGCAGTGTATTTCGTCAGTCTGCCCGTTCTGTTCCCCACTCTGGCTCTGGTGAATTCTCTCACCCTCCTGCACTTCTGACTATACCCAGTGCTTGTATAAAAAAAAAATCTTTAAAAAAAAATAGAGTTCAAAATTGCCTTGATAAAGAAATTCATTGCCCGTGGTCATCACTACACTACACTCCCTGTGATTTTTTTTCTTTTCTTGTCTCCTTCTCTCTCTTCCTCTTTTCCTCCCTCTCTTACTTTCTAATGCTTGTTCTATCTGTTCTTTTTTATTTCCCAGATTAGTGTACAAGTATGAGGCTCTGTCCCCTTTTTATCTCCTCACTCTGGCCATGGCTGCCCTTTAATCTCTTTTGGCCCCTTCTAATTACAGAACCACTCTACCCTTAGAAATTGCTTTTACTCTAAGAACTGAGGAGGCAAAACTTCCCTGTCTGGATCTTCGTAGATAACACCATCAAGTCTGAGCCCTCCAGCTCAGTGTGAAAGCTTTCCACACCTGGCAGTGTCTACCTCCCACCAAGTGAGCACCTGGCATTTTTATATTAGACATCCTATCAATCACATCTTGTGTCTTTGATATGCATTCCCTCTGCACAGAATGGTCCCCCTCCATTTATCAGCCTATTGAATTCTTCTTTGTCTTTTGATTTACAGCGAATATAACCCCTCTCCAGGGCTTTCCTTGACCATGAATGTGGTGTGGTCCATCACAGATGGTGTGTGGCCTTCCCAATCTGTCTCTTCCTTTGGTTTCTCCATAGGTAACAACAATTAGAAGCATTGATAACCACATAGGAACTAGAATAAAAGTGTTAAAAGGTGAAAAGAAATCTCATGGCAGTTTTGGGGAGTAAGAGAAGTTCTAATGGAGAAGCTCAGGTTTCAACAGGTTCATGAGAATTGTGGGTTGCAACCTGAACAAGTGGGAATTTCATGAAGTGTTTTCCAGCAGGAATAGCAGAATGAGCAGAATGCACATTGGCATTACTTGGCTATTCTCCTTTAGTTTACGTATTCCTTAACTTAAAAATAATGGGAAATAAACTAAACATGTGTCTCTAAATTTAAGTAGCTATATGAACAATTATAATGTATTCCAACAAAATTTCTTCCTTGCCCTGGAGCTCAATCTTAAATAAGCCCATATCTGTGAATGGAATTGTGCCATAGCATTTGTTATTTGCTATTAGGCAAGTGATGCTTTATCTGATCAGTAAAAAGCCATTTAGCTACCTAAGTAATTGAGTATATTGCAAATAAGCTGTTCCTAAATGGTAATTAACAGGACCTTCGGAACAAAGGGTACACTTTAAAGACTTAATTGCCTCCATGTAGAACTCCAGCTTTAAAAAATCAGTTCAGTGAAAGATTCTAGAAAATGATAATACTCAGAAAAGCCAACACAGGCTCATAGCAGGTTTATTCCTTGGGTGGTTTCTTAAAATATAAATGTGGATTCGTAGATGAAGCGCTACTATGGGTGGAGTGGGGAGCAGCCAAGAATGAGGTAATACCTGAGTAAAACTCTGAAGGATTGGTAAGGATACATCAGCTGAAAAGGTTGTGAAGGACATTGATTGTACCGAAACAGCAATGAACAAAGTTATGGAGACAAGAAAAATGAGATGAGAGGGTACATGATTTATGTATGTGAAATAAGTTGTTGAAGATTAAAATAGAAGCTGGAAGTTCCAGGAAAGGGACTAGAAAGACATGAATCCAGACTTTTTAGGGTCTCATGTGCTAACTAAAGGATCTTGCCTTTTCCCTATATACTCTGGGAGATATTGAATGCTTCCATATTTAAACATGTGTTTTAAATAAATCTGGAGTTATTGTGAGGTAGTTACAACTTGGTGGTTACAATAATGGAATTACCATTCAGAATTGTTAGGAAACAGTGCAGAATTCAACAAGAAGATAATTAGTACCCGATTTATGTCAAACAGGAATAAAGATATAGAGAAGGATAGAAATTTGAGATACAGTTTTTAAGATAGACTAAGGAGGTTTTGGTGACTGAGTACCAGATGTTTAAATGGGGGGTAAAGAGAGTAGTCTAAAATGTTTTATGGGTTATGGGCTCTGACTTGGATGTGTCTGCTAGATTTTGGTGCCTTCAACTAAGTCTGAGAATAGAGGAGGAAAACTTTACTATATATGGGCAGTTTTCAGTTATTCCAAATAAAGCAGATATGAATATTCAAGTATGAAATTTTGCATGAACATAAACTT